CTCCCCAACCCACTGTCCCCCAGATGTCCCCCAGCTCCTTGCAGTCTGGAGTCCTACCCCTCTGGGTCCAACACCTTTAAGTTGCTTTGGCCAGGTCTCAAGGCAGCCTGCAGACTGAGTCTGACAGGATGCTGATGGCTAATCAGCGTCCATTCTGGAAGAAGATAAGCTCCCAGGGAGGCAACCAGGGAGGTGGGGGCAAACTTTCTAGCCTTAGGAAAGGGCCCATAAAGTTAAATAATGATCAGCCCCTAGGGCAGGGGTGGATGCTGTGGGGGCAGACAAGGATGTCAGCTTTGGGAGGCCCTGCCTGTCAGGCATTTTTAGGTTTCTGTCCCACCCTTTTCCAATCAATTGTTCTTGTTATTTAGTGCCATCAAGTCCATAGAAACCCTGTATAAGATTTCCCAGGAAAGGCTGGTGACCTTGTGGTTCAAATCGACCTTGCAATTCAGTGCATTAACTCATAGCGCCACACAAGGACTCCACAAACATGTGTAGTAATGTTTTAAATATTTACATGAGAATGACTGAACACAACAGTCTTGTGGCGTCCTTACAAATGTTACTGTGTTTGAGCCCATTGTTGTTGCTATGGGGTCTTCCTCCTTTTCATTGACCGTGTACTTTACCAAGCATGATGTCTGTCTTCAGCAGGTTGATTATAAAGCCAGCAGGGTAAAGTGAAAAGGGAAGCAAGAGGATCCCCAATCTTCAGAGCACTTAGCATCTTGGTTGTTTCAGGATTCAGCTGAGGCTCAGATTCCAGATAGCAGACTTCTTTAAGGTCATCCTTCTTGATTGACTTTCATTCTCTGGCTCTTAGTTCCTCTCCTGCTCACTGACCATTCCCCAAGGGATTGGACCTCTATTTCTCTGAGTTTCCACTACCATCCTTAGACTTCTGATTCCCACATCTGCATCAACCCACATCCTTTCCCTGTGCCCTAACCTCTCCAACCCAGACCCTTCGTACTCCTTAACCTCTGTCATGGAAGGAATTGTACCTCCTCCCCACCAGTTATGTAGTGCTGCAGTGCGGCAGAGGTGTGATGATCCCTCATTATGTGATCCCATATGATAAAACAATACAAGGATTAAGCCTGGATTTATCCCTTTATATCCTTAATCCCATTATAACTCTGATCTGATGTCAGGGAGGTTCCCAGGGCTGTGGTTTGCAAAACCTTTTATCTTGTTGTTGTTGTGTGCCGTGGAGTCGGTTCTGACTCATAGCGACCCTGTACAGGGTTTCCAAGGCTGTAAATCTTTACGAGAGCAGAAAGCCTCATCTTTCTCCTGCAGAACAGCTGGTAGTTTCGAACTGCTGACCTTGCAGTTATCTTATGAGATTAAAAGAGAGAGAAGTAATCTGACAAAGGAGAGCCAAGAGTGCAGTGCATTCTTTGAGCTTGGGATCCCTGTACTGTGAAGCTCCTAGATCCAGGGCAATATTGATGCCAAGAGTCCAAAGAATGTAGAGCCTACAGATGCTGAAAGGAGACAAGGATCTTTCTGCAGAGTGTACAAAGAGAAAGCCTTCACCCAGAACCAACAATCTGAATTTGGATTTCTAGCCTCCTAAACTGTGAAAGAATAAACGCGTGTTTGTTAAAGCCTTCCACTTGTGGTATTTCTGTTATATCAGTACTAGAGAACTGAGACACTCTCCACCCCAGGCACTTTCTATGCCCTAACCTCTACACTCACCTCCCTTTGGGCCAAACACAGACACCTTGACAAAGTGGCATTTCCTCCCTCTAAAATGTGTTCCTCCCCTCTCCCCTTTTCTCACCAGGGATTACCATGTTCTTGTGGGGGGAAAGTGAAAGATGCTCTTGGCAATGTCTAGAGATAGGGATGAGTGAGGGTGGGGACTAGTTTTGTTTATCTAAATTATATCAAATCCTGAGCCTAAAACAGTAGAGAGGATTTGGGAGGGTGGGGGCGGGTAGACTGAGAAGAATGACCAGAGGCCCTGGTCAAAAAAATTCAGAAAATGTGTGTTTATGCTGCCAGAGGACCCTGGGACTCAGGGTTGGAGGAAAGTTGGGGACTTGGGATCTCCGTGTTCTTTCTCTGTATCTGTGCTCTGCCATTCTGGATGTCATTCTCATCTATAGAACAGTAGCGGGGACAGTGGCGGGTAGAAATGGACAAATTGTTTCAAATGATTCCAACAGCTCAGACAGCAAGCTTTTATAATACCTGAGCTTTTGAGAGAAAAAAGGATAAGTGGAGCTTGGTCACTGGTTTTAGGCCTACACTATTAATCTACTGCTCCTACCCCCCATGGAGCCTTGGCTGGTACCCACGTGCAATAATTAACTGCTGAGTGGCCTTCGGCCGATCCCAGCTCCACTCCCACTCCCCGCCCGACTGCCTGTCTCCTAGGCCACTAAACCGCTGCTGCCCCCTGGAATGAGGCAAGGGTGAGTGCAGAGCAGAACAGAAGCCAGAGCCAGACTGAGAGCCATCGCCTCTCCCAGGTATGCTGCTCCCCACCCTTACCAGAGGTGTCACATTCTATGGTACTCCTCATATGTATTAAAGACTTGCTGAGCCCCAGAGTAGCCAGAAGAGGTGACTGAGTCCCAGACCAAAGTAAACTACAAGTCTGTCTCCATCCTTGGACTGGAATCCAAGGCTCTTATTTTTCAGCTCTTCTAGTCTGGAATCCCAAGCTTGGGGTGAGGGTGTCATAGTTAGATCAAGATTTGAAGATGGAACTAAGGGTTTGAAGAGGAGACTTGGAGGGCTATGTAGGTCACAAGGAGAGGAGAACTCTGGCCCCAGAAACCAGTCACAGCAAGAGAGACTGCTATCCAATTGGGGTCCTCACTCCCAGCTCTTTATCCTCCTCCCCCTGCAATTATTTTGTAAAGGCCAGCACAGTGAAGGTGTTGTTGTTAAGTTCCGCCGAATCGTTTCCAACTCATGGTGACCCTGCATATGGTTTCTATGTAGTTTCTGAGACTTGTAAATCTTTGCAGGAACAGAAAGCCTCATCTTCCTCCTGCGGAGCAGCTGATGGGCTTGAACCACATGCCTTGTGGTTCACATTCCAGTGCTCATGGTGCAGGAGCGCCAAATTTGAGGGTTACACATGGGAGATCCCTGCTGTTTGACTTCCGGTTATGTCTGTGGCGCTGCGGGTTAACGCGTTGAACTGCAAGGTTGGTGGTTCAAACTCACCAGTTGCTCCTGGAAAGCTGTATACAAGGTCAACTTGATGGCACTTTACAGTAACACCCTCTCAATAAGTGCCCATTGATTACATAGCTCCACAGGCGACCAGTTTTTGTTCCTACGCTTAATCCTCAGATAAAGAAACAGCTTCACATTAGTTTTCCCCCAAGGTCAAGGAGGAGGTAGAGTGAGGAATGAGTCTCTGGAAGCTAACCTGGAACTCTGTGCTCTAAACTGCCAGCTTTGTTTTCCCAAACTAGCCTAATCTGAAGAATCATCTGATGTTTCCTGAGATAAAGGTTTACCTGGCTCTGCTTGGGGGGTGGGGGAGGAATCAGTGAAAGCAAGGAAGTCAATGGAGGGAGGGTATGACTGAATCCGATGAGAGATGAGTGACTACTGGAATTAATGGAGTAAAGAATGGATTTCAGAAGGGTGGGGCAAGGGTGGGGAAGGAGGAGAGCTAATAAGAAGTCACTCCAGGAGCACTTGAGTTGTTCAGTTCAGTCAGTCCTGAGCTTAGTCCTGAGACAGTCCTGTTCAGGCACTGCTGTAGCGAAGAGGCCCAGGCAAGACGCTGAAGCCCTGAGGATAGTAGAGGCACTACGGAGACAAGGTAAGGCTCAGGGAAGACTTGTGAGCAGGGGAGGCTGGTGAGCTTTCCCAAACCCTTTGTGTAAGTGGGTTAGAGGAGAAAGACAGAGAGGACTGCTGGGAAACTCTAAGCATTTTAGGAAGTGGTTACGAATTGGGCTGTTCGAAATTATCAGCGGTTCTGCGGGAGAAAGATGAGGCGTTCTGCCCCCGTAAAGATTTACAGCCTCAGAAACCCTGTACAGGGTCGCTATGAGTCGGAACTAATTCCACGGTACTTAACAACAACAAGGCCCCTGGTAGGAGTCCTGGTGTGGCACTGTAGGATAATGCATCAGACTGCAAAAAAAAGTCGTTTGAACTGCAAGGTTGGTGGTTCAAGCTCACCAGCTGCTCCTTGGAAACCCTATACAGGGTCGCTGTGGGTCGGAATCTACTCAACAACAAACCCTTGGTAACAATCTGTGTGAGAAGGACCATTGCCCACTGTTCAGCTACTGAGGTCAAAAGATTAAAGTGTCCCGAAAGCCAGCAGGGTGGCTAGTTCTGTGGTTGAGGGCTCAGGAGCCAACTAACGCCCTCCCTGTGCCATCCCCCAGGTCATAGTTCTTGTTAGTTGCCATCAAGCTGATTCACACTCATGGGGACCCCATGTCTACAGGGAACTGCTTCACAGGCTGTTCAAACCTAGGCCTTCAGAAACAATCTTTTGAAAGACTGGCAATTCGAACCCACCCAGTAGTTCTACAGGAGAAAGAGCTGGTAATCCACTCCCACAAACTCAAGTTCTTGTTAAGTGTCCTGGACTCAATTCCAACTCATAGAGACCCTGTACAGGGTTTCCAAGGAGCAACTGTTGGATTTGAACCACTAACCTTGCAGTTAGCAGTCTAGTGCTTATCCTAGAATGCTATACCAGGACTCCAACCCCCTCATATTGATCCTATATGATAAAGTAGAACTGCCCCATAGGGTTTCCAAGGCTGTGAAACTTTACAGAAACAAACTGCCACATCTGTCTTCCACAAAGTAACTGGTGGGTTCTAATCAAAATGCAGTTAGCAGCTGAGTACTAAATTTAACCACTATGCAGGCTATCTGCCTCAGGCGTTATTGTCTAGGCCCCACCCACTTGGGACGATTCCCATACCTTGAGGCCTCACCTTCTCACCTGTTTCTTGGTGCCACAGATCACAGCTCTTCCTTCAGAGTCAGGCATGGCCCAGCTGCTGTTACTTCTGCTGTTGGTGGCCCCCGGCTGGGGTGCACAGCTCAAGACTACGCAGGACAGGACTGAACTTCTGAATGTCTGCATGGACGCCAAGCACCACAAGGAAAAGCCAAGCCCTGAGGATAACTTGCACGGCCAGGTGGGTTCAGTAGGGCTTTGGGGGTGGGGAGGTGCTAACTCAGAAAGAGGGAGTCAGGAGATGGAAGTGTCCAAAGCCCCAACATGGTTATTGCTAAGGAAGAAGGTGGAGGCAAGGATGCCTATATAAGGAGACCACCGATCTCCTTATGGTGACTATGCATTGAATGAAATAAGTCCTCCTTGGCTGCCAACTGAAAGGTTGACAATTTTAATCCACCCAGTGGCTCCACAGGAGGAAGACTTGGCTATCTGCTTCCATAAAGATTACAGCCAAGAAAACCCTATGGAGCAGTTCTACTCTGTCATATGGGGTGTTCTGTGTCACTTGATGGCACCCAAAGGCAACATGTGTTGAACATACTATGTGCCAGATGTTTTCAGTACAATGCCAACAGCTCTCCTTAGTTGATGAGTTTCTACATTACACAACTAAGGAAGCAGGCCCAGAGAACAGCTTGGGAAATGAGATTGGAAAAACTTGTCCCAGGTGTTGATATAGGAGATTGGATTGGGAAGGAGGTCCTCCAATGTACACAATGGCTTGCTTTCTGCCAGCCTCAAGGCAGAGTTCTAGTAATGAGGCTGGGTGTAAGGCTCCTTGATTTACATATCTAGCATTTACACTGCAAAAGATGCCTTAAAGAGTTAAGCTAAAATGTCACTTTGAGAATTAAGGTGCACTTGACCTAAGCCATGATTTTCAGCCATCTCATATGGATGTGAAAGTTGGACAATGAATAAGGAAGATCAGAGAAAAATTCATACATTTGGATTATGGTGTTTTGGTGAAGAATATTGAAATTACTATGGATTGCCAAAAGAACAAATAAATCTGTCTTGGTAGAAGTACAGCTAGAAAAAAAACAAACAAACGTACAGCTAGAATGCTGCTAAGAAGTGAGAAAAGCAAGATTTCATCTCATGTACTTTGGACATGTTATCAGGAAGGACCAGTCCCTGGAAAAAGATATCATGTTTGGTAAAGTTGAGGGTCAGTGCAAAAAGAGGAAGACCCTCAATGAGTTGGATTGAGATAGTGGCTGAAACATTGGACTTAAACAATGATCAATTATTGTTATCCTTGAGCCCATTGCTACTGATGTCCTCCAAGGACTGGTCCCTCTTGCAGTATGTGAGACAAAGTTTCACCATCCCTGCTTCTAAGCAGCGTTCTGGCTGTACTTCTTCCAAGACAGATTTGTTTGTTCATCTGGCAGTCCATAGTACTTTTTTTGTTTTTAATTTTTATTGTGAACTGTGTGAAGGTTTACAGAGCAGATCATCAGTTTTACATTCAACAAATCATATACTTTGCTTCATTACAATGATTGCAATCCCCTCCATGTACCATCGGTTAATAGTATTTACCTCCATTCAATAGGTATAGTCTTTCTGCTTTTCCTCTTTTTTATTTTAATGCAAAGATATGTTTATTTTCTTTGAGGTTACCCTTTATCTTGAAACCTACTTGACTTCCTCATCATTTGGAAGTTCTGTATCTACACTATTCCCTCTTTTTACTTTGTGGTTAACTTCATTATAAATCATTGCATCTGGTTTCCTAAATACTTCTATAACCGGAGTTCTGGTGCGGTGCTGTAGGATAAGGACTGGACTGCAAGATGAGTTTGAACTGCAGGGTTGGCGGTTAAAACTTGGAAACCCTATATAGGTTGCTGTGATTAGGAACTGACTTGAATGCATTTAAAAACAATGTCTGGATTGAGTTTGGGTTGGTGGTGTCAAGTATGTTAATCTCAAGTTGTTGTCTTGCTATTGTTGGTTTTCAGTCCAAAGAACACCCCTTAGCTTTTTTTATAAAGTTGGTCTGGTTATTACAAATTATTTAAATTTCTGTTTATATGGAAGTATCCTGATTTTGCCTTCATATTAAAAAAAAAAATGTTTTATTGTGAATTATGTGATAGTTTACATGGGAGAACATTAGCTTTACATTCATCCTATCGTATAAGGTTTAATTGCCATGGTTACAATCCCTTCCATGCATCATCAACCAACCAAAGGGTATACCCTGCAAGCCTGCCCCCAGTCATAAGCACACACACCTTCTCCCTCTCTGGGTCTAGAGTCATCAGATCTGCCTCCGTATCTGGAGTCACTGTTTCTCTGGGTAGGGTCCCGCACTCAGCTCTTCTCCCTTGATGGTTCCAGGGCCCTTGGCCCTGAATTGCAAAGTCAATCACTCCCCTCCTTTTGCTACAAAATGTCTACCTTTACATTTCCAACCCTCACAGTCAGTCCTGATAACACTTATTCACTATTGTATCACAAGAGATCTATCCTCATATCCTTTCATCAGCCCCACCCAGACAGATTGGATACTACTCAGTGGAAATTCTACTTTCCTCCATGCCCACTGAATCTAGGCTCCCTCTTGAAAGCTTGTAAGCCAGTCACTTCTTGCCTTTGTAGCCCCCACATTTTGGGTAGCCAATGTCCAAGTTGCCTATCCCTGTCTACCCTGTGTATTGAGAGAGTGGGAATGATCCTCGCTGCAAAGATTTGTTCCCTCTTTTGAGCTTTTGCATCCATAGGTGTAGGTCAAGTTCATCAAATTGTATCAGATTACTCTTTTTTTCCTCTTCTTCTAGTTGAGTTATGATCATCCAGCCATTGAAGCCAGGTCAAGTGGGTATTATGTCTTCATATTTGAGAGAAAACTTTGCTGGGTATATGATTTGTGGTTGGCAATTTTTTTCTTTCAGAATTTTGTACATGTCATCCCATTGTCTTCTTGCCTGGATGTGTTCTGCTGAGAAATTAGAGCTTGGTCTAATTGACTTTCCTTTGTAGGTAACTTGTGGTTTTTCCTGAGATGCTCTCAGGATTCTTTCCTTGACTTAGGTTTTGGAAAGTTTGATTATGGTATGTCTTGGTGTAATGTCTTTTGTGTTCTTTCCTATTTTGGGTTTGTTCAGTTTCTTGTATGCTTATCTTTTCTCTTTCGTGATGTTAGGGAAGTTTTCTTCCAACAGATTTTCAACAATTTTCTCTGCGACATTAAAAAAAAAAAACTAAACATTTTATTGTGAATTGAGTAAAGGTTTACAGAGCAGATAGTCAGTTTTGCATTCAAGAAATCACAGCGCTTCATTACATATTTACAGTCCCCTCCATGTACCAACAGTTAACAGCATTTACCTCTATTCACTTTAATTATTGCATTCCTCCCTGTGTCTTCCTCTACTTTCATTGTTCCTCTGCTAACCTACCTCCCTCTTCCTATATACTGCCTGCCATCATTCATGCCCAATCCTCTAGCCCATGAATAATTTTCCTTCCCTGCCCCTGCCCTCCTAACCATCATAGATTGTTTCTTTTATCAAGAAAACTTTTTTTTTTTTTTAGCTTAGCGTAGTGGTTACGAATCGGGCTGCGAACCTTAAGGTCAGCGGTTCGAAACTACCAGCCGCTCCGTGGGAGAAAGATGAGGCTTTCTACTCCCGTAAAGATTTACACCCTCGGAAACCCTATACAGGGTCGCTATGGGTCGGAACTGACTCGATGGCACATAACAACAACAACAGCATTGGTCTCATGCAATGTTTGTCCTTTTGTGATGGACTAATTTCACTCAGCATAATGTCCACAGGTTCAACCATGTTTTGAGGTGTTTCACAGATTCATCTTCATTCTTCAACATTTTGTAGTATTCCATTGTGTGTATGTACCAAAGTTTGTTTCATCATTCATCTGTTGATGTGTCTTTTTGATATGACTATTGTAGACATCATATTGAAGGATCCTGTTTTCTTATCCATTCTGCTCTTTGTCTTTTGACTGGAACATTTAGTCCATTTACACGCAATGTGATGATTGATAGGTGTGAACTGATACCATTTTTCTGTATGTTTTCTGTGTTGCTGCTGTATTTTTTGTTCCACATAATTTTCTATGCTGAGTTTATTTTGTTTGTGTGTTTTCTTGTCATTTTAATTTCTCTTGTGTTAGTGTTTACTAAATCTCTCTGATTTTCTTTCTTTCTTTTGATATGCAGTTATATATAGAGAGAAAGAGCTCTGGTAGTGTAGTGGTTACGAATCGGGCTGCGAACCTTAAGGTCAGCAGTTCGAAACTACCAGCTGTTCCGTGGGAGAAAGATGAGGCTTTCTGCTCCTGTAAAGATTTACAGCCTTGGAAACCCTACACAGGGTCACTATGAGTCGATTCCGACTCCATGGCACATCACCACCATATCTATACATATAGATATAGACAGATAGATAGATTTTTTTTTTTTTTAAAGGTTACCCTGTAATTCATGAATTTTTTCCCTACTGAAAACAGTTTGTTTTATTTTGAAGTCTATTTAACATCCTTGCCATTTGGAAGTTCTGTATCTACTCTATTTTCTCTTTTTGCTTTGTAGTTAACTTTGACAGATGCATTGATATATCTGATTCCCTATTTTCGGTTTTGTAAATTTGTTCTACTTTAAATACTTCTATGTTTGGATTGATTTCTAAGTGGTGTTGTCATGTATGTTAATCTCAGGTTGTTGTCAGCTATTGTTAGTTCTTACTTCAAAGAACTAAGAACATTTTTGTATATGTCATTCCATTACTTTCTTGCCTGGATGACTTCTGCTGAGAATTCAGAGCTTAGTTTTATTGGTTCTCCTTTGTGGGTAATTTTTTGTTTCCCTCCTCCCCTGGGCTGCTCTTAGGAGTCTTGAGTTATCTTTGACTTTTTAGAAAGTTTGATTCTGATATGTCTTCATTTTCTTTTGCAATGTATTCTGTTTGGGCCCATTCAGATTCTTATATGGCAATCTTCTCATCTTTTGTGATGTTAGGGAAGTTTTCTTCCAACAACTCTTCAACAATTTTCTCTGTGCTTGTCTCTTTCTGTTCTGGAATTCCCATAACTGGTAAATTGTTCTTCTTCATGGTGTCCCACATAATTCTTAGGCTTTCTTTAGATTTTTTTTTAAATTCTTTATTCTGATTGTTCTTCTAGCATACTAGTATTTCCTGC